GGGACCTTCGCATTTGTAGGACTTCCCTAAGTGTTACAATTATTTTTTTGTGTGAAAATCTTAGAGTCCTTAAGAATCGTGTGTTAATAATAATTAAAAAGCATTTTGTACCTAAACAACAAGTAAATTTAGTTTAAAGTTAAAACCAGTAAGGGGCCGTTCAAAAAGTACGTACACAAAAATGGAGAAATTTTAACCCCCTTCCCCCTGTCGTATATTACCGTACATAAGGTCCCTTAGAGTACGTACATTTTATTAGTCTACCCCCCTTTTTCATAAAAATTAAAATAATTATGTTTTAAATAAAATTAAATATTTATTTAAAATAATTTATTCATTTAAATTATTTAAACAATAACACTCAACTTTATCTTTGAATCAATAAATAAAACAATCTTATCTGATCAACATAATAATTTCCTACAATCAATACAATTAATCTACAGTATTTTCCCAAGGACATTCCAAATGCTTCTCGAGAGACGCCAATTCAGCGTCACTCTTGTCTGCGACTGATGAAAAATTTAGATTATCTTCATCAACGAGATCAACTTCGATCCACTCTGCATCATCGTTTTCCTGGTTTTGGAGGATAACCAAAAGTTCTTTCTGTCGACGAGCTGCTACACGAACTGGTCTTATTTTGTTAATTTGCAAAGAAGATTTGCATATTTTCTTGTGATCTTTCAAACAAGTTAAAGATGCAAAATATGTACCACAACTAGTAAAAATTTTGTGTTTAATATCACCTTCTACCGATGGGCATGCGGCATCGTATGGAATTTCTGTGTTGGAGTTTTGGTGTTTGCAATTTTTTACTTTGCGAGACAATTTTTTTTTGAGAACTGATTTACTCATTCTAACAAGTGGTCGCCGTGGAAAAAAAAAACAAGAACAAACATATGTATAATGCATGTGTAGGAAAAAGTCAAATTTAAATTTGGTGTATGCTTATAATGTACGTACTTTGTATAATACCTCCCCCCTCCCCATCGTACAAAACCGTACAAAATAGCAAATCCCCCCCTTCGGGATGTACGTGCTTTTTGAACGGCCCCTAATGCCTCTGGCAGTTCTGTGCTCACAGTTCCCAGATTTCTAAATCAGACCCCGGTCATAGCTTATTTCGAAGCTTTTGTGTTCTAAATTAACGTAATTTCAACGTTGATAGTTGTGATATAGTTCTGGTTTCCGGAATGAATCAAATTTAGAGTTTTTCACACAAGCCGGTATCGATTATGCTGCTCCAAACTTTTTACAAGACCTTTTTCGATATTTTTATCAATTTTTCAGATTTTATCACTGTCGTTCTAGATATCGATGATCTGTCGTTTTAGATATAAAGATTTGTCTTTCCAGTGCTAATAACTGTATAACTTTCTCTCTCCCGTGAAAATGACGGAGTGAGTTTTCGCTCGCTATTTCTCGCTCCCGTGATATTGACGGGCTGCAGTGTTCAGCTGTAATGCGCCAATAAGAATAAAATTAATTCATTTCTTTTGCCCAGAAAACATTTTATTTCTCATTTTACACACCATATAGCAGTACCGGGATATTTTTAAGGTAATTGTAAATAGTTAGTTTAGTTTAAACTAGATACTAGCACTAATCAAATACGTGTATTTGGCAAAATAGACACTTTTATGACCGTTTTCTTGAAAATTAACCGATCGTTAAGGGTTAAACCTGCCTATACTTTTTGGAAATATCATATACTGTTTAATTTTTTGTTAAATCAGCTAGTTCTTTCAATATTTTTTTTAAGAAAGATATTTGTTTCATAAGTAATGAATTTTTTTTGTAAACAATGAACGTTGGAAAAATAATTTAAAAAATGTAAGATGCATCAAGAGTCGATATTTCCTTTTTTAAAAAATCTCATTCTCTGTGTATTATAAACGTTATTATGCACAAAACATAATGGAATCAAGCTGTATTATAAACTTAGTTAAACGAAAGAAAGGAGAAAAGTTCACTGCGTAGTTTAGATAAACATTTATAAATAAAATATCTATGTAAACAATATCTTTCATTTATAGAAGTTTCAATTACTTTTTTGAAAATCATTTTTAATTTGGGCATATTTAAAAGATTTTACCATAATGAAAATTACTAACAAGAAATCCGAGATTAAAAACAGGAAGCTTTGAAACAATGTTGTTTAGTAGATCAAGGCCCACAATGAGCTGTAGTGCCATAGAAGAGGAAGTATGAGATTATTATTGAATATATATAAGTGAAATTGAATTCTTTATTCACACGAGTTTCGTGTTATGAGCACGGTACCCATGAAAATTTTTTTCCTTGAACGAAGTTTTTTTTACATATCTTTGTTGATCATATTCAGTTAAAAAAAACTCAATCAAATATAAATGTAAAGACTGTTATTATTATTGAATTGGATACCATTGTTTTGATTTTCTTAAATACTTAAATATGTATCAATGATGAAACAATTCTGAGATAATTTTTTATTTTCCAAAAACTATGATATAATCACTTTTAAGTACCATTTAAAAAAAATAATAAGTATAGATAAAATGGACTCATTAAAGTGACTAAAAATGTTACAATTGAAGAATCTGAAACGCGTGTGTAAAATAATTTTTTTTGATTGCAGAGCTTACTAAGGAATATTAATCTTTTATTTTGAGAATAACTATAATTAAAGTGCTGGGGAAATATAATGGTAAGTGACAGATTTTTCAAATAGTAAATTTTTACAACAGTGTTTTGCTTAGTCTTGTTCTAACTGTTCTGAAACAGTTGAACTATATAAGAGTAAATGGCCACTATATAAAAGTAAAATACGCATTAACATCTTAACCAAAGGATAGCTTCTCCGCTTTGGTAACCAGACAACCTCCACTCGAAGTCGAGCATTTTACAATAGAACAGTTTAAAAAGGACCAATACCACACAGCGCATATCCTCAGTCCCTTCGCAGAATGAACAAAGAGGTCACCCACCCGCTCACTGTCCGCAAACCTGTCACACTTAACTTTGGTGATCTATTGGAAACCGTGACATACGATCAGTCCATTATGGGACTTTTATATGAGAAGGTTCTTAAGAGCAAGACAAATCATCCAAAAGGAAAAAGATTTTATAAGAAATTTCTTGTTACAGAAGATAAACTTTCAGTGTTTGGACTTGTTTTAAAATCTTTAGTTGAAATTCTTGTTTGGCTTATTTTTCTCCAATACTGCAATATTTAAGCTAAGAAGATATTTAATCACTCATTAATTCAGACACTACGCGCATTAGAGATATTTCTTTCACTCCCAGTCTGTGGAAAAATGTGTCAAACTTGTGACTTCAAAAAAGTATGTGAACGTGAAGCTAGCGATAAATATTCGAGCAACACTAAAGTCTTGATCAGTTATGCCTCATTATGTCAAAAATCAGATTTTAAATTTGTAGTAGATATAAAAGAAATGAACATTGACTCTACAGTAAACCAAAGAATCCCACTCCGTTGAAAATTTTGGTGAATAGCTGTAAATACATATAATGTAAATACCACACCAAAAAATTGGATGGCTGGTTGAGTAAGGTGTACAGTTAGGAGTTATTTTGTCCAACAAACAATAAAACTATAATATTTTTTTATACATTAGGCATCTATTTAAATAAAATAAAAAATCAAGGATATTTTTGAAAGCGAGGGATTTTTATGAAAACAAGAATTTGAAATTCGCCCCTAACGTATTTTCAAATTTTACAACGAGTATCTACGAGATTGAACAGAAAAAAACCCCAATGTTTTTCTTTTAAATCGAATTCAAGGACTCAATAACCATTAAGACATTCTTTTGTCTCTCAATCACCTTTTTTTAAGAAGCCTTGAAAAAACACCTAGTTTCAATAAAAGAAAGACCAGTTTTCAACAAAGAAACTCAATAATTTCTGCTTTGAATATTTTCTTTGCTCCATTTTAATAAGTTAAAGTAAATAAACAAAACAATTGCTAACTCTATTCTTTAAAAATTCAAAATATCATTGACATTATGAATATTACGATAGTTAGAGTTAAATAAAAATCGATGTCAAGTACAAGTATTTTAAGCGAAGCCATTTACTTTACAATTATTGCATTTCTTAATTATTGAAAGATTTAGACAACACCTATAAGTTAATTATTCAACTTATAAAGTAGCAAGCATTCATAATATAATTTTTACAAAACATTTATTGAGGAGGAAAAGTTATGTACAAATTTTGCATGGAACAGAGCTCCTGGACACAAATTCACTGTACCATGTTTAACAAACAAGTGTGCACTTTTTTCACATGTTGCGTATAGTTATTATTTTTTCATGTCATGTGATCTACAATACCCAGACTTCTTTGTTAGAAATGAACGCCGTAAGATGTAATCATAAGACTGGATGAAGGTGTATTAAGATCTCAAAATATTTATTAATTTGAATGATTTTCGATTTCATAAAGGCATTTTACAGTATGAACTCATTTTAAAAATAAAGATTACATTTTTATTCAATTAAGGATAATATAAAAGGATAAAATATAATATAAGGAAAATATAAATGCTTAGTTTATCATGTGAAAGAGATTATTTGAAGTTCACATCTATTAGAAAGGCTACTCTACAATTAAAATACAATCCTTTTTAATTTAGTTTTAGGATCCCTTTAATTCTATTAAACTATTATTTTAGATGTTACATGCATACATATGTANGTAATTATAAACACCCCATTTCCATTCTGTTAGCATACCTAAAGGTAAAGAAAATCTATTTGATATTTTTTCTTAATTTTCTTCGTGTTTTTCTGTTTTTATTTATTATGGTATATATTTATATATATGTATATATATGTATATATTTATATATATGTATATATATATAAATGGATGGGTCATTCTCACTGAAAAGGCACAAATAGCCTAAAATTTTTTCTTAAATTAAAGTAATTAAAAAAGTGATAAAAAATACATAAATGCCTTTTTTTTGTTATATGTCCTTATAATAATAATCAAGCTTTCTATTTTATTTTTTACAAGATTTGAAATTTGGTCTTGTCCACGGAGGAGATGTAATAATCAACGGACATTCTTTTCTTTACTTTTCTGAAATCTGTTTAATTTTTTTTTATATCCTTCAAGTCTAGTATTTAGTTTTTTGTTTTTCTCTTCCATCTTCTTTTTTAATTAGAATTATTTTCTTTGACAATGTTATTATTTGTCAATAGAGAAGATGAGCTCGTAGTTGTATATATGATTACTCCTTCAGGTTCTTCCAAACGTTTTCCTTGTTTACGATATTTTCTTGCTTTTTCTTTCCAAACTTTTCTTTTTTTTTTTTCACGTTCATTCATTTCTTGAACACTTTTAATTTTGCCACAGGCTTTTCTTTGGTGGTAACGCTCTTTCTCTCTCTCTTTTTTACTATCTTTTAATTTCTGTCTAGCTTGTCTCATGCTAAGTTGTATTTGAACATTTGATCGCTTTCTTTTTTTACATTTTGGTTTTGCCATTTTTTTCCCCTAAATTTTGAAGAGAAAAAATATAATAAACATCACAGAAATTATTTAGAAAAATATTTCCAATATTCACTTCTCCGATAAGAAAAAATTAAACTTAATTGATTTTCTTTAAAAATGCAAATAAATTAACGTATTTATTCCTTTTTAAAAAATATCAATTAAAATAAAATAGTTTAATTAATAAAAATGTATTATGGCTATCTAACACATTGTCTCTTCCGTTGACTGTGTCATCTCCTCTATGGACTTGCTATGTCCACGGAAGGAAAGTCCACGGAGGAGACAAAAACTAGTTCTTGAATTTTACTGATTTTTGATTTTAAAGATACAAAACTGGTGCAGTTCTTTTTATTAAATATACTATTTTTGCTATCTAAAATTTATACATCAAATATAAAATAATTTTCTCTTACTTTCTGTATGATGACCGCGGAGTATACATTGAGAACTTTGCCAAACCTCAGTTGAACACAACAATCCAAAATTGACACCAAAGAGAACAAAAACAACTGATAGTTAACATTAGAAAATAGAAAGGTTACCTTTCCCACCAGCTGTTTCATAGGGATTTCAGATATGCTGCCCTCTATTGAATATTTACCGATCTACATTAATCGTACATGGAGGGAGACTTCATTTTTGATGGACAAAGTTTACTAGTCATTTATTTTGTAAAAATAAAAAAAATTTAAAAAAATATTAAAAAGAACGTTTACTATAAACATTTAACTTATTAAAACTACAAAAATCATTGAAATAACATTTAAATTGCTAAACAGCCATTAATAATTATTTTGTGTCACAGACACGGAGGGGATTTTGAAGTTATGTTTATTAAAAAATAAGAACGAAATATTAAATTCATTTAGCAGAAATGCATATGATTGATTAGNCAATATCCAAGCAATTCCCCAAATTCTTATCAGTTTCATTGTTCATCTGAAGGTTCACATTTCTTTGCTCACACCTGCTCCTGATGCATCACCTTCTTTTGTGTATGGAGGAGCAAGGAAGGTCCGTGGTCTTTGTTAATTTTGCATAGTCAACTTAACTGTTTTTGTCACAGAAAGGAAAAACTAGATAAGACATTTTAAATATAAAGTAAAAAAAATGAAGAAAATTTGAAGCTCGTGAAAATTATAACTTATTACGTGGGAAAACTTTTTAAGCGGAAACTTCTTAAAGAGGTTCCTCTGTATATATATATATATATATATATACATGTTAGATAGAGTATAAATTAGTCCTATTAACCGATATAATAAAATAACGGACACCTCCTTTCCTTTACTACTACTTAGGAGTGAAGAATGTAACAGTGTGGATAATTCTTCATTACTTTAATATATAACTAGGAAGAAGGAAGGTAACAGAGTGTTCTTCCTTTCAATTAATGATAATAGCCCATTATGCAGCTCTAGTGTGACGTGCAAAAGTACCTACTTACCTAATCAATTAATAACAATTCAATTAATAACAATATGACGTCATATATATTAAAGCCTGCGCTACCTTTCTCCCTGCAACTCTCTTCTTACATAGAGGAGAGGAGCGAGTGTTCTTCAAGCTACCTTTTCTTAGTATCATTTAAATTCATTTTTTCAAATAATTATAAATTTTTAATTAATTCCGTAATTAATTAATTTGCTACATATTTATCTCGATTAATCTAAGCATTTTAAAAAACATTTAAATTTTTATTCAACAGGCAGATTCTTTCTATAATATCTACGAAGCATTACATCATCTGTCTATAAAACCACCTGTTTAAACAGAAGGAAGATGAAGGAGACGGTCACCAGATGAGAACAAACTCGGAGAGAAGTATAAATAGCGGGATCGCCCCGAAAAGAAATCTATCTCTTTTTCCAAAAAAAATCTATTTCTTTTGAAAAGTGCCATTTTCTAGAGTGTAGGATGCCTTTTCCAAGTACCAGAAGGGGTAACTCTTACGTTATTTAAAACCGGAAATTTGACTACTGAGTCATAGTTTTCGGTATCTTAAATAAGATTCGTTTAGATGACAAGCCGCTCATGAGAGCGACATTCTTAAAAAAAATAAATAAAAATAAGAAGAAGGGAAGGAAGATCCGTTATAATAACTGAACACATGCCGGACAAAATATGGGAATATGACAAAATCCACTATAACGAGATAGTTGAATTAAACGTAAACCAAAGATTTGATAACGATTTAGTTTTTGTATCAACTTTTTGATTTAATGCAAATTCCACTGCGACAAATTGTATTAAATCACTCTCTCAACTCGAATACATCCTTTCTGAAGTTAACTCCCGATGTCATACAACATGTAGTATCGAAAAGAAAAGAACGCGAAACACTTAAACATACAGCTGGAGAGGACATAAACAAAATCATGGAAACGATTTCTCAAACACAGGCACAAACGGAAACAGAACTAACTAATTATTTGCACGATAAAAAAAGAATTTTATAACATATTAATTAAAAGAAATTTTTTGATAAATTTTAAAAAAGCATTGCAATTGGCTCTGCAATCCTGTCTAGATAAACCAATACTAGAATTATGTATTGAATATTTAAATCCAATCAAAACATGCTTATTACCACTAGAAAGCGCAGACATGGTGGAAAAATGAAGCGTTTTACAAGACGTTCCGATACAACAATTCATATTAAAAACAATAAAAGTGTTAGACTAAGCAGCTTAAAAAACAAAAAAAACATTAGACTTATGCGGTGAGTCTAATTCAGGCAAAACTTACCTTGCTCGATTTTTAGCGAAAGCATCCTTCTTCTACGGAGAAATCACGCATGGAACAAGTTCATACATGATGTGGCAGGATTGTTGTTGTTGTTGTTAATTTACGTCGCACTAGAGCTGCACAATGGGCTATTGGCGACGGTCTGGGAAACATCCCGGAGGATGATCCGAAGACATGCTATCACAATTTTGATCCTCTGCGGAGGGGATGGCACCCCCGCTTCGGTAGCCCGACGACCTGAGCGCGAAGTCGAGCACTTTACGGTAGCACAGTTTAACGAGGACCAATACCGCACACCCTCGGTCCCTACGCAGACTGATCCAAGTGGTCACCCACCCGCACACTGACCGCAGCCAGTGATGCTTGACTTCGGGTGGCAGGATTGCATTAATAAAAGTTTAATTATAATAAACGAACCGTATTTTGATATCGCGGTTATCGAAAAGTTGAAAATTCTTCCCGAAGGAACTGGCACTTTCGTACATTAAAAATGTGTGGTGATGAATATCTTAGGTGAAGTTACCCTCCCTGAAATGCAATATTCTTGTTTCCTTAGCAGCAGACGGCCTCAGATTTTGTGGCGGGGGGAGTTCTTACCGTAAGCAAACTGTATGGAACCTATGCCCTCAAGCGAAGGAATCAACTGAAGTACGTCTGATAACATTTTATGACAACTTAAAATCCTGATGCTTTTTCTTAAAAGAACACAATAAAGAAATTCTTCGAAAGAGTGAGATCATTCATTAAAAGGTAAGAGATTTTTTTAAACATATGGACAATCCTAATAACATATTAAATTTTTGAGGTGTTCTGAAAGTATTTTCGTTTTTCCAAGCAGAGAACTTAATTGTATTTTTTACAACATAATCAATATATATATATTTGCTGATATACAGTGCCTCTAATTTATCATAAGGCCAGAGAGGTCCAGGCCTAGAGCCCCTACATATTTTTTTTTTTGGGGGGGGAGGGCTATTGTTACAAATATATATTCTATTTGTGTTTTTCTTATGGAATTGTCTATTACAAATAGGAATGAACAAAAACTGAAATAAGTATGAGCTTAAATTTACTTACAGCTTGGCTTAACCCTGTCCCGCCCCCCATACTGGACATCCAGGGAATACTATTTAAGGAACAGTTCAGGCCAAATCCTCAAAGCACTTTCCAAAAAGTTTTTTAAAAATTTCTTCAATGCCTTTATTTATTTTCTTTTGGTTCCAGGTTTGTTTAATGGTATCAAAGCAGAAATTTTTTGGGGAAAATATAATTCTTAAATCATCATAAACTGGGCAGACAGTAAGCATGTGTTCGATAGCTTCATAATTCTTGCAAACTTTGCAGTTCGGGTCTTTCCCGAACAATTTTGACTAATAACTACCCTGGGCTCCATGGTTAGTTAGAAATTGATTGATATAGAAGTTAGAGTAGATTTTTTGATTACTGACTTTTGGGATAAATTGGTAAATGTGTCGGCCCTTTGTATTATAGTTATCCCATCTTTGCTGCTATGTTGAAAGGTTATTCTTCATAAGTCCTGTTCTTGTGGTCTGTTCTGATGGCATGTTATACAGATCTATTGTTTTTGACTTGCTAATTGGACCTGTCTGTCAGCTTCCTCATTGCCCTCATATGCTTTGTGGGATATATGTTATAAATAATTTAATGCTTAATAATTTAAATACTTATGATATAAATACAGTCGGACTTCTATTTAACGAACTTTTCTTTTGCGAATTCCTCTATTTTGCGATTTTTTTCGAGGAACCAAGAACATTTTGGTAATTTCTTCATAAAATAACCTCCAAATAGCGAAGTAAATTTTCTATTTAACGAACTTTTCTTCTAGGTCCACTTCCCTATTTCCAAAAATATTTCGGAACATTTCAAACTTGTTAACGAATTTTATGGGGGAAATGACCTTGAATTGATTTCCGAGCCACTTTAACTTTTAGACAAAGCAGTAAAATTTCTTTCTCTCCATCTTTGCATTTCAAACGAAAAACTCAGACAAAATTAACCGATTTTATCAGAAACAATTAAACTTAAGAACGCATGTGATAATGTAGTTTAAAATAACTTTTATAATAAATGCAGCTATAACTTTATACATAAATTTAGCTTTTTTTTTAATTGAAAATATATGTAGTATGATAGTGTAACACTGGATAATGTTTCGCTTTATTCTTGCTTTCTATGAATATTTCTTTTATGATTAAGATTTATAAAATAAATAGTAGACACTAGTTTACATGATAAAAGTGTATCAATTACTTTTTTATTAATGTCTAGTGTTTATGAATTTAAAACGTGCTTTGTGTCGTTTAAATATTTCAAAAGGTGATTTTCGACTTAATGAATTTTCTATATAACGAACTTATCATCGGGATTTAGCGACTAAGTTAAATAGAGGTCCGACTGTAATTTCAGAGTACTTCATAATTAAAAATGCAAATTTGGGTTTAAGTAACAACCAGGGGGTTCTGTACTTAAGGCCCCGACTTTTCCAGATCAGGCCTTGCTTGTGTGAAAAAGTTCGATTGATACTGCGCAGTAAATTTTGGTTGGTGTGCTTTCAAGTATGGAAAGTGAAAAGCTGCATTTTCAACATATTTTACTTTATTATATCGAGAAGGTAAAAATGCTGTAAGAAAAAAAATTATACCACGTGTATAAAGAAGATGTAATGACAGTTCGCTATTGCCAAAACTGGTATGCAGAATTGCGATTTGGGAATTTTAATATTGAAATGCAACACGATCTGGAAAACTAATTGAAGATGATGAAGACAAAGACACAATATTGGCATTTAGTTATGAAAACTAGCAAATAAAAGCACGTGAGATTGTTGAGAAATTAAAAATTTATTGAATTTC